GTCTTAACCACTATGCTACCAGAGCTCCCGATAATTTAAGTATAGTCTCCCTTAATTTTAAGCATGATTTGTAGTTCTGTTAAGCCATAAAGGTGAATTAAGAAGAAATTTTCTCTTAAGCTTAATTTAGCTATAAGTCTCTGGATTGGGTATTGACAAACTATGGGTCTCATGGGCCAGGTCTGACCTACCACCTGTGTTTGTAGGAGCCACACTCATATTTTATTAAGTATTGTCTGTGGCTGTTCCTTTGCTACCAGGACAGAGCTGAGTAGTTGCAACAGAGACCAAATATGTCTTGGTTTATACCTAGAATATTTACTGTATGGCTCTTTAAGACAATATTTGCTCCACTTTAGTTAAATAACCTAGGTTTGGGTAGGAGCAAATGAGCAAGAAAGAAAAAGTTAGAAAAATGCTAGTTAATTATTACTGTAGTATTTTTTGGATAAAGGAGAATGATATCTTTAAAATTTTATTACATTCCTCATCTTACTAGCTTATTAAGATATTTCAGTGTTATTGAGAGTAGCCAATCTCTTAAATTCACAAATGATCAGTTAAGAATTTTATATTTAAAGGGTCTGGTCATACTAATAAACAAAAATCTAGGTTTTGGTTTGGCAAGGTCTTAAGTATCTCTTGGGGACAGGACTCTCTGCAGAAGTAATAAGAAAAAAATGGGAATTATCAGTCTACTTTGGAGGCCTGTGAAGTTGACATGTCCTCAAGATGCAGTGACCAAGAGCAAGCTTTCATAGAGAACTGTTTTCCAAGACCATGTGTTTTGTTTTTCTGGTCTGTGTGCCAAGTGTGAAAGACACTGAGATTGCTGTGTCTTTCCTCCTGCTTGGCTACCAATTATTTTATTAGAATAAGTTAAAATACATAACTGAATAGCACTTCTGATTGGATACTCAGGAGTTAAGATCCGATGATTTGATTCTAACATACTTTAAAAAAAAATAAGTCCAAGTAATACTTTCTTAAATTGAAAATACCTATTTGATAAATACATTTTCCAGATGACTCAAGAGTGTTTTAGTAAAAGGTAAGTCTCCCTCTAAGTCTTTTTTTTTTTTCTTTTCTCCTAACTTTCTTTGAGAATAACTTCCTTTTATTTTTTTATGGTGGTAAAATATATATGTCAAAACATTTACCATTTCACCTGTTTTTACATGTACAATTCAGTGACAGTAATTATGTTCACCAAGTTGTACAAGCATCCATTTCCAAATTTTTTTTATCACCCTTCACAGAAACGTGAGTTTTGCGTAAGCAGTCACTACCTCCTACTCTGGTAGCATAGTGGCTAAGGCACTTGACTGCTAACCAGAAGGCTGGCGGTTCAAATCCACCAGCCACTCCTCGGAAGGAAGGTGGGGCAATCTTCTTCCGTAGTGATACTGGCTCGGAAACCCAAGGAGAGGTCGCTATGAGTTGGGGCCGACTCGATGGCACATAACAACAACAACAACAACAAACCTCCTACTTGCCCCTGGTAGCTGTTAATAAACTTTGATTTATGTGTTTGCCTCATTTAGATATTTCATGTAAGTAGGATCATATACAGTATTTGATCTTTTGTACATGACTTATTTTATTCAGCATAATGTTTTCCAGGTTCATTCATGTCATAGCACATCCCAGAACTTTATTTCTCTTTATATATTTCTGAATTGTATATATGTACTACATTTTGTTTATCCGTTCATCTGTTGATGGACATTTGGATGGTTTCAATATTTTGACTATCGTGAATAGTGCTTAGTGAGCACTGGTGGGATAAGTATCTATTTTAGAGTCCTATTTTCAGATCTTCTGGTTATATATCAGGAGAAGAATTGCTAGGTTATGTGATAATTCTTTTTAACCTTTTGAGGAACTACCAAATTATTTTCCATAGCAGCTGCATCATTTTACAGTCCTACCAACAGTGGATGACGGTTCCAACTTCTCCACATCCTTTGCATACCTTATTTTGTTTTTCTGAAATAGCCGTTCTAGTGGGGGTGAAATTTCTCTCTGCCTTGACTCCCAGTTCTTAAGTTCCTCCTTGCAGAAGCAACCACTGTTAGGCGTTCCGTTCCCTCTATATCCTTCCCAAAATTGTTTGTGCTTATCCAAGCACATATGTTTTATGCCAATAGAATCTTACAGGATGCAGTTTTGTGCCTTGTGCTTTGTATTTATATGAGATGATTGTAGATTCGCATGCAGTTGTAAGAAGTAATAAAGTGATCCCTTATATACTTTGCCCATTTCCCCCAGTGTAACATTTTGTAAAACTATAGTATAATGTCACAACTAGGATATTGACATTGATACAGTTTCTACTGTCTCCTTAGATTTCTCATTTGTGTGTATGTATATTAAATTCTATACAATTTTATCACATATGTAGGTTCCTGTATTCACCACACAGCAAGATACTGAACAGTTCCAACCCCAAAAAGATCCTGTCACCCTTTATAACCACACCTCCCTCCCTGTTGTCTTCCCTCCCTTTATAGCCTGGCAATCACTGATCTGTCTTCCATTTCTAAAATTTTGTCATGTCAAAATATTATAAATTGAATCACATAATGTGTAATGTTTTGCACCTTTTAAAAAACAAATAATCTTTTAGATGTAGATCTACTTCATTTACTTCATGAGTGCATAGTATTCCATTTTATGTGCATGTTTTAATCTACCTAATCTTCATTGATGAACATTTGTATCAGTCTTGCTATTACAAAAATGCAAGTAGTAAATACTCTCTGTATGCATGTGCCAAGTATTTATTGCTAAAATGTGTGGGTAAAGTTGTGGGGTCAGAGTATATGAATGAATTTTAATAGATATTTCTAAATTTTTCTCAGAAAAGGGTGTTTCCAGTGTGCAGTTCCAGTTGCCTTGTATGAGAATACCTATTTCCCCACATTGTCATGTGCACAGTGTATTATAGAATGCTTTAATACTTGGGAGTCTTTTTTTTTTTTTAAATCACCACTTGTCTCTCTAGTAATTATTTTTTTGCATGACTGAATGCTGTATTTGGGCTCAGCTAATGTTAGTTCTCATGACTTCGGTTTTATAGGGGAAAATTCTGTTGCAGGAAATAACATTGGAGCTAAAATATTTGTATAATATTACCAAGTCTACTTTTAGAAAATTTCAATAATCAATGAAATTTCACTATAGCAAAGCTTTAGAAATTGGCTTATAATAGTAATGAGGTTAGTACTATAATGTAAGTTATTGTGTGGACCTTAATGTTGTTATTAAGCAGACTCATCCTCAAGCATGAGTAGGGTTTTATCAAACCTATTTAATTGTTTTTGAATCAATATAAGTTCACTTAATTGAAATTCAAAATACTAGGAAAGAGATAATACTTATTTTAGACCCCATTTAGAGACTGGTGACTCCTTCAGTAGAAGGTAACCAACTAAAAGGAATGTGAAGAAGTGGAGACAGAGAGATATTTTTTCTCCAACAAATTAGTAATTTTTCAGTTTTGATTTTTATTGCTCAGTTTCACATTGCCTGAAAATATAATTGTGTTTGATTTTTATAGCTGTTCTAAGAATGTTTTGATGTACAGTGAACAGAAATGTATTTCTCTAGGAATTAGGTACTAAACACATCTAGAATTGACAAGATATTTAGTAAACTCTCAACAATCATCCACTTTTAAAATGCTTCCAAGTTGCTTTGCACTAGTTAGCAGTCAGCAAATATTAGTAAAATGAAACTGGAGAATTTGTGCACCAGCTACATACCCTGATTGAATAGAATATAGGGTAATTTGAGGACAGAAATTGGAGCATGCAGCTTTATACCAGAGAGAATTCAGATTGAGGGCATCCTTATTCTCTCTATGTGTTTCTCATTAGTAGTTGTCTTCCACTTCAGATTTTGAGAGTCTGTTTATGGATCAGGTACATTTTGCTGAAATTAGATTGACCCCAGTTGAACAGAGGGCCTGCCTATAAAAATCAAATAACTGAGGCCTTTCACCTTTATTGAAAAGTTAGAACAACAAATTAACTTACTCTTATTGAGCCCTTTGGTTACTGTTTATATTTTATGAGAAACCAAATCAGAAATTCTAGAACCATTTTCTCTTTAATCCAGCTTGATCCTCTGGCTTATCAAAAATAACATGGCATGACTTTATTACTGTTCCAATATACCACAAGAGAATTATGGCTTATTAAAATAAATAGTAAAGAAAGAACAACCTTTAAGGTAATATGTGTAGTGTAGTGCTGAAGGCACTTGACTGCTAACCAGAAGCCTGGTGGTTCAAACCCACCAGCCACTCCTCAGAAGAAAGATGGGGCAATCTACTTCCGTAGTTGTACTGCCTTGGAAACCCAAGGAGGGGTCACTGTGAGTCGGGTCCGACTCAGTGGCACATAACAACAACATGTAATACCACAAAGCTAAATCTAGACTTCAAAAATAGTAAATAATTATAAAGAAACAGAAACCTCCAGACTCACCTTTTTTTGATCTCTAGATTTGTTTTTCACCATAGGGCTGTTTGGTCACTCAGATAGTGAATCTATCCAAAATCCAGATACCTACAAAAAGCAGCCTTAATGAGGAACCGTTTAAGATTCTGTGTGGGGAGGAACTTTATCATTCTACTCCCTTGACCTTCTCTGTCCAGTGTGGTAGCTCTTAGCCACGTTTGTCTAAATTTAATTTAAATAAAATAAAAAATACGACTCCTTAGTTTTGTTACTACATTTCAGGTGTTCATTAGTCACATGTGGCTAGTAGCTACTGTATTGGACATTGCAGGTGTAAGCAGGGAAGCTAAAACTTAGTATTTAGATAATTCCTGAAAGATAATATATTCAGAAGAAATTCCTTTTGTTAGGTTGTTGTTGCTTTTTTGATGATTTGAGATCAGCGAACTTTGAAACAGCTCCATTACCAAGATAGAAATATACACTTGCCAAAAGAGAGTTTTCAGCCTCTTTTCCATTGTTTTCTTCCCACAGCTGCTGGGCATGCTGTGTGCATGCATCGTGTTGTGCAGAAGGAGTAGAGATCCTGCTTATGAGCTCCTCATCACCGGTGGAACCTATGCATAGTAGCAAACCTGAGCTTTTTAGTCTTGTTCTGATTTGGAAGGTGAATTGAGCAGGTTTGCTGCTATTGGCCTCCTGAGTTGTTTTAGTTAAAGCACATGTATACTGGTGTTGGACAGAGCAGCTTGGCTCTTCATTTACCTACCTGCCTATGTACCCACCCACCCACCTACCCATCTACCCACCTGCCCACCTACCTATGGCTTTCTTTTCCCTTGTTCTAGCTGATTCTCTTTAAGTTTTTAAGTATGGTGGAAAATGTTCTAATTTCAGAACCATTTGCAAGTTGTGTAGTGTAGTAGAATTAATGGAGGGTGTGGGTCTGCTTTTGTTACCTCCAAGCATTAATGGGACTGATTCTGAAGTATCACCGGACCCTTTCAGTCTTTATAATGTAGAATTATTGGCCAAAGGTTTTGGGAGGAGGGGGAAGAAGCCAGCTGTCTGGTTAATGTTAATGCCAGATAGTACCCCTCATCACTGTCCTTTTAAAATATACATATACTATAGTCCAATAAGATAACAGTTGTACAAAATGGCTAAAATAGACTTTAGAATTATATGGTACATGTCTTGATTCATCTTCAAAATCAGACACTGATCTTTGAAACTAGTGGTTTTTAATCAAAGCTGACTTTATAGGAGGAGTATAATGTATGCACTACTGTTTTAAAACAATTAGTGTGAGTGTGTGTGTGTGTTTTTTTATGATTGAGCCCATTCATCATAAGTCTTAAAACTCGTTTGGAAATAATGTACCCATGTAGACTAGCAAAATAGTGCGTAGATGTGATATCAGTTGTAAATAGAAAAATCTAATTCAATAAACTCTGTATCACCCCTCGATATGTAGTTTTTAATTATTTTGGGTGTACTTGAATTCCAGAGCAGCAATGTAATGTTTTAAACAGTGGTACTGTCTATAGTTCCTCATGATTTGCATGTGTTTTCATTATACCTGTTGCCACATTCTAAAGGCCTTGCTTGGTATTCAAGAAACCACGGATGGTTTTCAGTCAGAATATCTTACAAATGAGAGCAGCTGCTGTGTGCAAAGCTCCGAGGATACAGTGGTGGTACTGTGCTGTTCTTTGTTTTCAAGGAGTTTAGAGTCCTAGTATAGGAGGCATACACAGAAATGTAATTTCCATACAGTGCAATAATTTGTAGTGATAAAGTAATGGGAGCTCATACTCTTAGATTCCTAGTAGAGATGCCTGAGCTTGGAGGCTGAATAGGCTTGTGGGAGGGGTTACATAGGAGTGTGAAATGGGATGAAGTATGTAGGGAGCTACAAATAGCTCATTGTGCCTAGAGCTTAAAATACAAGGTTGAGAGAAGTAGGGAAACCCAGGTCCTCCAGGGTCCTACATGACATCCTAAGGAGCTAAGACTTTACTTGAAGGTAGAGGCAACCGTTACAGGGTTTGTACATGGTGGTAATAAGACCTGTTGTAGATGGGTCCTTGTCATTATAGTACAGAGGATGGATTGGGTGGGGGAGGCGAGGTGCATATGAAGGGATTGTTTAAATTGTATACTCTAAGAGTGTTTAAAAGCATGAAGTAGGGCACTGTTGGTGGAGGTGGTAAAGCATGTGGACTCAGGGACTGTTTAGATTGGAAAAATGGCAACATTTGATAATCATTGATTGGATGTGGGGCAAGGAGAAGAAAAAAAAATCTAGGTGAGACTCAGGTTTCTGGCTTCATCAACTGGAGAAGCTGAGTTTGTTGGAACCAAGTACTAACATTCATAGGGAGCGAGTAAGGGCAGACCTAGGGGCATGAGTTCACATTTAGTTTTGTTGATTTTGAGATGCCCAAGTATCATGCACATCTGTCCTGCCTGGAAATAGAGAGGGCATGGGAATGGTGAGGAGGCAAAACTAGCTTCTGTTGAGAAAGTGGAAGTTACCAAAACATTCATGATTTCACAGGAACAGAGGACTGGATAATGGTGCCACTCACCCATCCCACTTTTTTTCCCCCTTGCCTGTTGCACAGTTGGCGAGAGTGTTTGCTTATCCTGCTGACCTTTCACTGCCACCATCATCCCCCTCATCTGGCCCTGTCCCCCCCACCCTACCATTCTATGGCTACCTCATCCCAGGTTGTAGCTGAGGTGGATTGTGATGTTGGTTGCCCTCTCTGTGCATAACAGAACTGGGCCTCTAGAATAGAAAATTACTCCATGAACTTACCCAAGAAACTAATTCCACATACTCCTCCTTCATGCATTTCCATCTGCTTGCCCTGTGCTCTGTCAGCTGGAACAGATGTGCCATGTTAACAGTGAAGCCAAAAAAGGTGGTAGCTCCAGGGCCACCGGTTCAACCATTCTAGCTCCTGCCACCTTCCAATTGTGTATAGTTCCTAGGACAGTGGTCCTGAAAATGCCCTTTTCCATAGCCTGGGAACCCCTAGAAGGGGAATCTGTCTGTTAGCCAAAGTCATACAAATTCAACTTCTGCCTTAACATCCCCAGAGTCTGACACACCTCAACTACTTCATGTAGTTGAGACCAGGAGTTCGCCCTACCCTGAGATTCTATTCTTCAGAGAACAAAAGAGTTACTCCTTAACTGAAATGTAATAAATGAGATCTCTCCCTTTCCCAGTGTTTCCCAACCTTGTCTGCACATTGGAATCACCTTGAAAACTACAGATGCCTGGGGTTTCAGAGTCTGTGAAGTAGTCTGGGGTGCCAGTCAGCCAAAGCTCAGAACCACTACTATATCCTATAGCCATTATTATTATTATTATTAAATAAGCTTTATTTGGAAATAATTTCAAACTTAAAGTTGTAAAAATAAAAATTGAACTTACAAGGACTGAATATCCTGTACTCAGATTCACCTATTAACATTTTGCCCCATTTGATTGATCATTTGTGTTCGTGCATGTGCTTGCTCTCTCCACATCCTGCTAATATTTCAGTGGGTATTTCTTAAGAATGAAGATATTCTCGGACATAACCACAGTATAGTAGTCAATTCAGTAAATTAAACACACTAATATAATACTTTTAATCCTGCCATTCATTATGTCCTTTGTAGCATTTTTTATCCTCTAGTTCTGGAACCTGTTTAGGCTCCAGTATAAACATTTAATTATCATGTCTTTGGTATCCTTTAATCTGGAGCTCTTAGTTTTGTTGCTTCTGACATTGACATTTTGGCAGAATAAAACTAGTTGCCAAAGAGTTGATGCTGACCTGACGACCCCATGTGTGTCAGAGTAGACCTGTGCTCCATAGGGTTTTCAGTGGTTGATATTTTGGAAGTGAATCGCCAGGCTTTTCTTCCAGGGTACCTCTGGGTGGGTTCAAGCCACAAACCTTTTGGTTAATAATCTGTTTGTGCCACCCAGGGACTCTGACCCCTTTATTTAAACATTTCTGCTCATTTTGGGTTAATCTGATGTTTCTTCTTGATTAAATTCAGAGTTTGCATTCCAGGTGCTAGAATTCTGTGTCATGTTGTATCCTTTTAAAACACTGTATCTGGAGGTACATGATGTCCACCTGCCCCTCATCGGTGATGTTGATATGAACTACCTGGTGTATCATTCAGGGTCCAGTGAGGAGAACATATGAATAGGGAAATTTTAATACAGAGAAATTTCAACTAGATAAAAGGTAGTTAAACACTAAAAGGGGTGAAAAAGAGAGCTCTGAGGTGTCACAGCAGGTGGCAGCTGCAAAAAACAGCTTCCACTCCAGAGGCCAAGGGAAGCGTGAACAGGAAGGAACTTAAACTCTCAGGAGGGCCACACAGACTGAGGTGAGGATGTGGCTACGCATGTAGAGGACATGCAGCCTGCCCTGTGGGGAAAAAATAAACCTGGAGGGTACCCATCACTGACCCTGGAGATCAGAGAACTGCCACCGTGGTAAATGAATGCTGCTACGACTGCGCCACACCAAGAATAAAAAAAAGTAATCCGTCTCCAGCCTCTAGCCTTGTGGTCCCCCCTTCAGAGCCTTCTGTGGGCCAGCAGGCAAAGGAGAAGAGAGGGTTTGCAGATTCCTAGTCTCAGTGTGACCAGGAAGGACAAGGAAGGTGAGTTTAGAGCTAAGAGACAAAAAGTTAATAACCAGCACACCTGGTAAAGGTGTGTTCCACTTTCTCCATGTTATAGTTACTGCTTTTCCCTTTCCAACCAATCAGCAGTTTCTGGAGAGATACTAAAGAGCATAAATATCCTGCTCTTCATCCACTCCCGCCTGCCCCCAGATTTAGGAAATATTGCTTATTCTGCCTTGAATTAATTTTTACTACGATGTTTACAATGTTGTTTTTCCAGTCCAACACTTCTTTCTCATCTACTATTCATCCCTTCTCTCACTTCTCACCCATTTATTTATTTTTATTTATCTCCTTATATTCATTGTGAACTGATAGATTACCATTGTTCAATAGTCTGTAATTCATTATTGTCCATTTTGGGAGAGTTCTCAGATAGCTCCAGATTTGATGACTGGGAAGTGCCTTCAGGTTGCCTCCTGTGTCCTTGAAACATGCTGTGACATTCTTGGGAGCATTTCTGTAATCTCAAATAAAACAGGATGTTCTAGGCTCATCTAGTATCCACCTTGCCTAGCCCTGGAGTCAGCTGTTCCTGCAAGGAGTCCTGTTCCTGGCACTGCTGCTGGAATGGCTTTGCTTATCTCAACAGATGACAGAATGTGTATTATTGCCTTTTTAAAGTTCTTTTCAATCTTTTTTTTTTTTTTTTAAAAAAAAAAAAAGTAACTAGTGTTCTAAGAAATGTAAACTACATAGAAATCTAAAGAAAATAATGCCCATAGGTAAGCAACTTGAGCAGTGGTATGTATCCTTACAGACTATTTTCTCTACATGTACAAAAAGAGACTGGGTGGTTTTTGGTTTTGTTAATTATATGATTTTTATTTGACAAGTTCCTCTTTTTCTCTTCACAACATAATATGGTACTCTATGTCAGACTGTAGAATCAATGCCATCCCTTTTGTTAATTGCAAGGATGTATTAGTATTTTGATGGACCAACCTACAATGGCTACAATGAATGGACATTTAGTTGCCTTCAGCCTCACTGCAGTGAACAGAATAGTGTTCTGTACACTACTCCTGTGCATTTCTGCATAAACTCAGGACAGAGTCTTGGGGTAGTGGATTTATTCTGGATCAAAAGTTACATTTAAAACTTCTTGTACATACATTCAGTTGCCCTCCAGAAAGATGATACCAATTTATACTCCCACTAGCAGAAAGCCCTGGTGGCCTCCTGCCTAAAGCATTTGATTGCTAACCAGAAGGCTGGCGGTTCAAACCCACCAGTCACTCCTTGGAAGGAAGGTTGGGCTATCTACTTCCATAGTGATAGCACCTCGGAAACCCAAGGAAGGGTCACTATTAAGTCAGATCCGACTCCACAGCAGTGTGTTGCATTGTGTTGAGCAGTGTCTGAAAGTGCACATTTCCCTAGATACCATTCCTGACACTTAGGGAATTGGCATCAGCCTTTAACTCTTCCAGTCTGACAAATGAAAATAATATATCTCCTTGATTTTTAGCTGTTGTTGTTGTTATGTGCCATCGAGTCATCCCTGACTCACAGCGACCCCTCTTTGGGTTTCCGAGGCAGTATCACTACGGAGGTAGGATTGATTTTTAGCTAGGCCTGCGTGTTTTCAAAGGTGTTTTAGCCATTTGTATCTCCACAGAATTTCTAGTTTCTATCCTTTGCCAAGTATTATAGTGTTGTTTGTTTTTCTTTCTTACAGATCTTAACAGAGTTAAGTTTATTTAGGAAAGTCTTTTCTAGGAATCTTAATATTTGTTGTTATTATGAATGGAATAATTTTCCCTCACTGGCTATAAACCCAAGGAGGGATCGCTATG